GACCACTAAGTATAATAAGTAGGAGAACAGCTGCAGATGAAATACATATCTCAATACAGGTATATGTAAAAGGATGCAATACGAATAAAAATGAAAATATCAATAAAATAAACATAAAACTTAAAAATGAGAATATAAATAAATTAAAAAAATACATGAAAAATCCATATGAATATATACAGCTGACAATACAAATAAATTAAAATAATATAAATAAAAATGTATAACGTGTAATAATAAAAATAGATGAAATGTTAAATGAAGAAAATAATACAAATTTAAAATTGAATATAAAATGGAAAATGAGAATTCAAAAATTATTATGACACAGTTGTGATACCCCTACAACACGCTTCTGAAAATCAGACACTATTGCAATACAGGGAAACATACAAAACTCCATACAGATTCTATATGGAACCTGTTACTAAAGAAACAAAAGTTAAAATATATACATTTGTGAAAACCACAAAATAATAAACAAGAAGATAGATGAGAAAAATGAAAATCAAATTAAACTGCTGTATCTTGGTTCAGACCTAAATTGAGTGTTTTGTGATTATAGGTCCACTGGACTTCTTTAAGACTAAGATCTAATGCTTTATCGCATCCTTTTTATTGCCTTTATGGAGAAGTATTCTACTTTTTATTTGTGATAATAAGATTGGTTCGATTTGATTGTATTATAGATGTTTTTTATTTCAATTAATTGTTTTTTTTTAATATCATAACCCTTTTCACTGTGTCTTTTTTTATAATTGCTGATTGATCTTTAATGACTTCTAAGTCTGTGCAGATTCTCCTTAAACGTGCCATTTGCCTTTACATTGGTGAGAACTGTGTTTATCTATTGGTGTGTTGCAATCTGTACTTTAAAAAAAAAAAAAAAGTTTTTTTTTCATTCTTTATTTAACATTGAAGAGTGAACACAGTATACAATCAGTAACATGAATCATTACTTATAGATATAGAGTTGATTCTTAGGTCAAATACCCCAGAATTAAGTTATTCAGCAAAATATGTATAGTTAAACATAAATATTGTATATTTAAAGTAAGATAAACCTCCCCCCACCCCCCCACCCCAAAAAAAGGAAAACACCTCTCTAACTAGGTATGTCTTTCCTTTTAATATATACCTTCCAGGGGTCCTAGACTTTGCTAAAAGTAGAATAGGAATGTCTAACTCTTGAAGATAGATCATCCATAATACAATTTTCTTGAATTTTTAAACCAACCTCTCTAATTTTAGCCAGCCGGCAGCTATATGTCTAAGTGCTGCCAAAATTTTTTTGTTTTTAATTGTTCGTCCGCCACATAATTAGTTAGGTCTAGATGATCTATTTTGTTGGTATGGATAAACAGCATACTTCTCAGACCAAAAAAATATATATTTTGAATACACTTTTATAACTAAATACAACCAAATACAATCAAACAAATAGAGCAGATTTTAAAGAAGCATTGGCATATACTTAAGAGAAATTAGATATTAGGCAGTAATATCCCAGATAAGCTAACAGTGATTTATAAAAAGGAGGATAATCTTAAAAATATATTAGCCCCCAGTCCATTACCTAAAATGCTAAAACCCAAACCCTTTTTAACGGACCATTACTACGTTTTTATATCTGTGGTAAATGTCGTATTCTAATATTGCATGTAAGATTACTTGAGCATTTTAATAATATCAAAAACAAGAAATTAGACCACAGCGTATCAAAACATTGTAATTCTTGCCCACATTTTAAATGGGATACGTTTTATTACTGTAAGGATTGGCAAAGTAGAAAATAATTGGAGGGGAGGCAATAAATCGTTAGTCTTAAAGAAGCCCAGTAGAATTATATTCTCAAAACACTTAATTTAGGTCTGAACCAAGATAACAAATTAATGTTTAATTAAATTTTTTATTATTTGATTGTTTGCACACATGTATATAATTTTAATTTTGTTTCTTTAGTTACACATTCCATATGTCATCTGTATGGATTTTTGTATGTTTCTCTGTACTGTAATTATGTCTAGTTTGCAGAAGATTATTGTATGAGTATCACCACTATGTCATAATAATTTTTTGTATTCAATTGTTAATTTTATAATTTTCTTCATTTATCATTTCATCTATTTTTATTATTATATTTTACATATTTTTAATTCATATTTATTTTCATGTTTTTTGTATTGACATAGAGCGTTAAATATGCATATACACTTTTCATGTATTTCTCATTTATTTATATTTTAATTTTTATTTGTATTGCATCCTTTTTCATATCCCCTTATTGAGATATATGTTTTTACATATATATTTTTCTCTAGCGTACCAGTATTTTGGCATTATTATCATGCTTTGTCTATGCCATGATGGTACTACCTTATAGATTTATTTGTTGTTTTTACATGTGATTTTGTGTTTTCTATATATCGTGTTTTTGTATTTGTTAAATTGTGTTCCTTCGTAGACTCTGTTCAGAGGAAGTTTTGTTATTGGACTATCACGTATGTGCTTGATACTGCGCCACCATGTAAGAATGCCGAAGTTATCGCAGAAATAGAGAAGGAAACGGAAGTGACAGGCGAATACTGAAGGTGCTCATGCCTTCCAGACTTTTCGTGTTTTTATTTATGTAGTACTATTTTATTCTTTTTGGTTTTATTTTGTTTACTGGGGAGATCTTTCATTGGCAGCTATTATCATACTTATACAATTTGAGTGGAGACATGCTGACTGATGCCTGATTTCCTGTAAGTGCATTACTACTTAAATAAATATTGCTACCAAACTCTCTGCACTATCCTTCTGTTATTTGTCCTTCCATATATACCAAGCGGAAGGTCCATCTTAAATAAAAACATATGCATATACAGATACCCCATTTATACAGAGACAGGCCTGGATTATTAATCATCTTGGCCTTACCTGTTATTGGTTAATTGTTAGTTAAGTATTCCACTATGTTTCCTTCACTGTATTTGTCATTACTTTATTGCGCAATGGTTTGACTTTTATAGCAGATGGTATATATTGGTATCAAGCCATCAACCCTGTTCTATGTTCACATATTACCCTGTTTTTGCAGGTTGCATTTATATTTGTTTTATTTCTCACTATAGGGTGATAACAGTGTGTATTCATTTTCCCTCCTATTTCTTGTATGTTTATCTTTAGTTGTGGGTGTTGTTTCAATTAAAACTTTTAGGAGGTTTTTGTTTCTACTTTTTTCACACACTGCTGCCATTTAGTGGTTATCGCCATTTTGTTTTCACCCATGCTCAACTGAAAATTGTAATTGCGTTAAATATGATCCCCACAGACATAAATGTAAGCCATCTATCTGATAAATCATAAAATTAAAAACTTTTTTTTTATATTTATTTTATTTATAAATCTTTTTTATTTTCTTTTATATATATCAAATATACAATAATTATACAAATTATACAAATTTCAATATTACAACATTAATATTACCACATTAATATATATTCGTTTGGTTATCCATAACGTTATATATAGTTCACAATCCCAAAAAAACCCCCCCAAAAAAACACATCAGATTGCAATTATAAGAATCAGTATATGACCAATTCCCAATTTAACAGTTCACCATTATACTAAACATATATGGAGAGATATGTATAGAGTTACATCCCATATCAAACCCCATCCATTTTGCACTTGATCAATACCCTATTTATCATATTAATCATCTACATCTTTATATAGATTTTATAAATTCTACAAAAAAAACTTTTTTTTAGTTTAATAATTTTATGATTTAAAATGAATACTATTATACATTATTGATATAGGTGAGGCTTTAATCTTTTAATCTTTGAGTTACTGTCTCATTGTGATTCCTTTTTATTGGGCTCAACACACAATTTTACAAACATGATAGCTTGGGGATTGACATTTTTTTCATGTAAATTCTTAAATAGTTATATGGTGAATCAATATATTTTCATTGTTTTACCACCAAGCCAGATCTAATGAAAACAAATATATTTTCATAATTTTAACACCAAGCCAGATCTAATGAAAACAAATATATTTTCATCATTTTAACACCAAGCCAGAACTAATAAAAACAAATTACATAACATCACATCTGAAGGTATGTAAAAGTTCAATTCTAAAAATAAAGGATGTTACTTTCTATGCACTATATCACATTTTTTTATTAACTACATATAGATTTTGCCATTCTGTGCATTTTGATGGCCACTGGGCGCCAAATTACTTAATTGCTTCAACAAATATTTTGTAAGTGTAAGTATAGGTCACAATAAACACAATACAGAGTGTAATTTTAACCAGAATGGTATTTATGTTAATGACATATTTAGAAAGAACATGTTTACAAATTAGTTTACTATATTAATGAGGCACATGGTTCATGCCTTGAATTTGTATATGCATTTGCATAGTCTGCACTTAACCAGACATCTTCACATGCTTATCAATAGAATTTTAATGAGGTAGCTGACAGTCTATTGAAATGTTAATATTCAGATAATATTTAGTATGTTTGTATAATAATGGAGGCTAGTGATGTGTGTAGGAGATCAATAGGGAGTGGGGTCATTTAGATGACATCATGGTTAGAGAGGGAAAAATAAACAGTGAGCCAATAACAGGTAAGGCCAATAAATTCCCCCCCTCACCCATTCTGCTATTAAAGTGCCCCTCACTCTCTCAGAATCACTCTCATGAAGGCCTTTGAGAAGATACTTCTCAATCCCAACCCTTGCTAGCATCTTCCTGCTAACCTGCTCTCTTTGACAGCTCATCATTCTACAACCTAGCTTTCTAGACAAGGTTTGACTCAAACACAAGATACTTGCTTTTCTAGAGTTTGATCTCTAGTCCAGAGGCCTTCTCCAAAGATTTTACCTGCAGCTCTGCTCCCAGCAAAAACCCTAGTACAACAACCTTGAAGAATTACAAGAAGAGCTCTCTGACATCCAAATTAGCAGAGGTTCACTACAAGAACCATGCATAACAACTTTTTTTCCAACCAAGGAGTGGGTGATGCACGACTTCTTACCAATGGACATGAAAATCATCAAGGAAAAATGCATGGTGTTACTGGCCTTGGCCATCCACCTTACTCACAACATGCACAACCCCACCATGGAATTGAACCTGAGTATCAAGATTTCATCCAAAAAGATGACAGGCTGTGCCCACCTCAAATGCCAAACTACATGACCCAGCTCCCACATTGTGCTCCAATGCTTCAAATACAAAATATGCCTGGGCATGGCTTTCAGAATACCACTCTAGGCCCAGTGGTTCAACGAAGACCCACAATTGAAGATCTGGTTCAGTATCTTAAAAGCACTCCACAACCTAATGCATGCAACACAAATAATTGTGAACAGCCATTGATGTCATCACCAAAGCCAAGTCAAACACCTGTCTACGAAAACCAAGTACAGTACTACGCAAACCAAGTATCTCCCCATCAAGCTGCCAGTCCTGTAAGCATGAATCGGCCCACTTCCCCACAGGCCATGATCTATGCTGCTCAAGGGGGGCAAGTCATGTACCCCATGCACCACTACCAAAAACCTTCACCAGCTACTATATCTACAGATGGAAGCTGCACTTCTACCAGTACCATATCTACAGCTGGAAGTTGCACCCCTGCAGCAAGAACCATATCTATGGATGCAAGCTGCACCTCTACCAGTACCATATCACAGGTGCCCACTGGAAGAGTAGTTTCAGATGATAAGGTGAGCACTTACTGATCCAAACTCATACTCTGTTTTAATATGTGGTTTCTTTAGCCAGCAAAATGTTTCAACCACTTTGGAACATTTTCATTTTGTGCTAGTAACATTTACGTTTTACATGTCTTATTTGGTATGCTTAGTTTAATGTCTACATTTTAATTTTATTTATACTAAACAAGAAGTTGTGGTGGATTGACACCTGAAAATGTAGGTCAACATTTGGAAAAGGTGAAAAACATTTAAAATATTCTCATTTGGAGAATTTTTCCTGCTGGGCACTTTCATTCAAAATTTGTTTACTCTACTTATCAATTTAGTCCAACTTACTATTTTTCTGATAAATATAAGTCTTGTATTCTATTTAGTAAACAGCAGTTGCAGGTGTGGCTATCCATCAGGATTTTCTTGTGAAGCCTATGCAATTGTACTCAAATTACGAGTAAATAACACATTAATATCACTAACTATGCAAATATTTTCACAGATCTAGACTCTAAACAATTTCTGTTGTACTCTAAACAATTTGAAATAATTAATAATTAAAAATGTTTTCTTTAACACGATGTTTAACACTTGCTCCTTGTATTCACAGGATAAATCAAGCATGAGTGAGCTTGAAAAATTTGCCCAAGATACTAAAAGGCGGAGGCTTAGGATGGGATTTACCCAGGAAAACGTTGGGGACGGACTAGGAGCTTTGTACAGTAAGATCAGATATAAGAAGTTACTAATTAATTGTAGTTAAATAATCAAAGAGACATATCATTATTGTAGGCTGAACTTGATGGACGCAAGTCTCTTTTCAGCTATGTAACTATGTAACTATGTAACTATTCATATTTAGTCAGTTTGTAAAAAAAAAATAAAAAAATCCACAAATAAAAATTTACTTATATTTTAAAGGGAAAATCTGGTATTTTAATTACAGCAAATATTATCTAAAATGTATATTATTGATAAATTAAATTATATATATTTATGAGTGGATTATATTAATAATAATATTTACATGTTAATTGGTTTAGTGATAAATAGTACAACATAAGAGAGTTTTATTTGAAGACATTACATACAGTAACTGACAAACTGTCTACTTTGTTACAGATAACCGTTTCAGTCAAACAACAGTTTGCAGATTTGAGGCTGGCCAACTGAGCCTTGCTAACATGCGGAAACTGAAACCAATCATAAATAAATGGCTTGATGAAGTTGAATCAAATGCAGTTAGCCGAGCGGTAAGTAAAACAATTTCTAATTTTGATAGTATTGACAGGGAACTGTCATCAAAATTGGGACATTTGGGAGACTTTCAATCCAGCAAGTTTCTTTTTTAAGTTTCATAATTGGATATGTATTCTGTGTTCAGTTTAAGGTAACTGAGGGGTAAAACTTTAAATTGATGAGAATTTTAGAGCTGGATAACTCATTGTTCAGTCTGCGGTAGGCTTCACTAGTAAGGCTATAGACATAGGGAGCTACAAAGTTCACTGTTATGTCTTTGTAGAGCAGCATAGATCAGTGTTTAGCCTGATGAGAGGTACTGAGTTCAGGGTTATAGGAATCTAAGCAGAATTTTAAAAATCATTATTATTATTACTATTATTAGCCTATCAGAATCACTTGGATGTGTATGGCACGTCAAGGAGAAGCATATCTTCAATTTGATAAGTAGTGGGTGGACATATAGCTACAGTGGTTTTAAAAAATCACTGCTGTTATAGTAGATATGATTTAAAAAAAACAAAATAAAAAACCTTTGCATTATAATAAGTACAAGGTGTACAGGTAGCTGTGGTGCTTTGGAGGCTTTTGTGTCAGTTCCCCTCTTACTCTGTTAAATATGTTCATATGTGTTGGCATTTTTTCTATTGAAATTTGTTAATCTACTAGGTCGGAAAAAATATATATTCTGCGATTAACATGTTATTCTTCGTATTGTTTTTGTTTGTTTTTTGCAACTAGATTGTTAACGATGGAGAGAAGCTGAAAATCTATGGAAAAAGAAAACGCCGTACATTCATTCAAGCTGCTACAAAGAGCTATTTAGAATCGTGTTATGAGCAGTGCCCTCATCCCACTAAAAGTGATATTGAAAGAATTTCAGAAAAATCCAAGCTGGAATACGAAGTAAGTATTGACAATAAGAACATTTCTATCAGATAACTACGACATGAATGTTTACTGAGTTATTCACTGAAGTGAGAATTTAGAGTGAATTCAACGTGATACCTTTAGGTGCCACTAGAGTGGCTTCCCAGTCTAGGTCTACATAGTGTACACCACTGGCATTCTGCATCTCTAAACTCTGCATGGAGATGCTGAACATTCCCATAGAGATGTATTGAATCAATGCGTCTCTTTGAGAAGATGCTGATTGCTGGGGAGTTTTGCCTCACATGCGCAATGGCTTTCCATTGCTTTCGTATGGGAAAACATTGGATTGGCTAAGATTATCAAAACTGATGATCGCAGCCATGGAGGCGAGGTCATCCATGGTGAGGCCAGCATGTCGTGGGAGAAAATGTGAGAAAAGTAAGAGTGGGGCCAGTCACCAAAAATGCCAAATAAGTACTGTAGTGTCAGGAATATTTGTTGTATTCCTGACACTAGTGTTCCTTTCTAAAGTAGTCAAAATGGATACATAACTGACTAAATTTCCATAGATGAAAATTTTTCCAGTTTGGCTGTTCTGGCCTTAAATTTAAAGTGCACTTAGAATTCATTTTGAATTTGCACTTTAGTGAATGAACCTTTGTGATGAGAAATATAGTGGTTGTGTCGGCAAACCCAAAAATGTAAATATCCATTTAACAGCTCAGGTGTCTTTTAATGTTTCATAGATATGTGTCTATGCCATGAACTGAGTGACACAAGAAAGGTAGATAACCCCTTTCCTCAGCTGCATTCACAGCAATGGATCTTAATTACAGCAACTGCAGCAAATACACTAGTTGCTGTGATAACTGTTTTTGTGTGTGTTTCTTGTGCTTATTTGAGACAGGAATTGAGATAGGAATTGGGTGACTGTGTCATTACATTTTGATGAGGATGTTCTGGCAATGTAGCAAGTGTATTGGCATCATAGAAAAGAATTGCCTTGACTGGCGATGCATTTTCCAAGCAAAGATAATCATGCTGTAGACAGTTGGGAAGCCTTTCATGGCACACTGGAACTGCATGTTCCAAGCAAGGCTAATCGTGCTGCATGCAGGTGGCAAATGTCATGGCACACTGGAGAGGAGTTGAGTATTAACAGCTATTAAAGTGATTATAGACATAATTTAGATTTCAATATTTACTGCTTTATGAGTTAGCTGTTATAGTGACCATCTTTAACAATGAGTTATAGAGATCTGAGTACCAGAATGCACAATCTGGGTAAAAGAAGACTCTATAATTAAGGTCAGTTGGACAAACCATAAGGTTTTCTTTTTTCTACTTCCATATTTTGGCCTAGAATTTGCAATCCCCTTTTCAAATTTACATTTTTTTCCTGTTTAATGAATAATCCTATATGTTTTAGCCTGGGGTAGAAGCAAACTAATCACGCTGCATTACATGCAGTGGCTTATTTCACAAAATAAATACCAATCCTACCACTGGCCCAGATCAATAGAGCAATAACTACTGTGCAAGAGGTTGGTTTGCATATTCATACAACATCAAATTCCTTGTAATTGTTTTTGCTGGTACAAAAGTGAATATTTTAATGTATGAGTTATACATATTGTATATTTCACAAATGTTTTGCTCTACATAAATCAGACTTAGTACTTGTGAATTATGTCTCTTTAAATGTAAATAATTTGTAAATAGACCATCCATTACTTTCATTATTTTTCAATAGGTTATTCGGATTTGGTTCTGTAACCGGCGCCAGAAGTCAAAGAAGGAATTGGACAAATGCCTGAAGGAGAAGACCGTAGCATTTGGAAACTTTGCTCAACCCATTCCAGCTCCTAACACAGGAAACTGGGCCATGCCATCAATGGCAGTACCACAACCCTGGCTACTTGATATGACTGCATCAAATCATACACCTTATATGGCTACAAACAACCAAAATGGACAATTCATCCAACATGCCATGCAAAGGATGCCTCCTGGATACTATACTCAGTAAACCATGGTATAGCCGCATTCCTAGTTTCCTTTATTACAGTTAAACCTCTCTTTCGAGCATTAACCCATCCTGATCACTATTACTTCAGTTCAATGTTATAGCCATAACCATACCTCTTCGCTTCCCTGTCATCATTATTAGCTCATTGTTCTCATTCATACCTTATATAAATTTATTGCCAAATCCTGCCCCCTGCCTTTGAAATTCCCCAGATCTGACACAGGGTGAACCTCAAACTCCATGCACTTCAGTAGGATAATTTTATACCTTACCCTCTGTAAGTTATTCAAAACCTGATTCCACCCCACAAACTCTATCTCAAACTACCTCTCTGTCAACGACATTCATATCTGTTATGCTTCAAACCTCATCTCCCCATTTTTAAAACCAATGACCTTTATAACAAAAGTTCTTTGTAGACCTAGAACTCACTGGACTCCCCCTTAAGATCATGTATGTAGTTGTATATAGATTGTATAGTTGACAATGAACCTTCCATTCTGAGCACATTGTACTTTTTACCTTTCTTTAGACTGTAAGCTTGCTTGAGCAGAGCTGCCTTTTGTAATGCTAAGTCTAAATAAGTCAGTGTTTTTTGATTAAGCTATTGGAGAGTGTTGTAGAATGTGTAGGAACTGTATAAATGTATTAATTGTAAATATAATGACATGCTTCCATGTATATAATTTTTTTTTTTACAAAATTAAAAAATTAACACCTACTAAGTTTTTTGTCTCTTAATTTTGAATGTTTTGTGAATTTATACAAATATTTTTCGGGCTTGCCTCTTGTTAACTGGCATATACTGGGGTTCTCACCAAACCTTCTATTTTGTGTAGGGAGTCTATCCGCTAAATAGTGAATTACACTGAATATATAAAAAAAGCAAAATATTAATATTTTAAATACTATTTTAACAAAATATTCTGTGCAGCAACCAGTCAAATCCTGGTTGCTGCACAGTATTTCAAAAGCACTACATATACTGAATGTGCAACAACTTTGCACAATGAGGGGTAAGAAATTCTGAATATCTTGGTCTTAGTTGCTCTATTGCTGCAGAGTGGGTAGACTATTGGTGCCAATGGGGTCCAAGTTTTTGTCAAACTGCTTTACAACTGTTTTTCTTAAAACCAAAAACTCATGACACCTTAATCACTATAATGAACTTTTAATGGAGCTTAGCTTGCATTTTAAGTCTGCCATGAATTAAAATGAAGAATTTGGTTTTCATGCAAAATAATGTGCAGAACTGGAACAACCCAATATTAATGTTGAGCTTTTGCGCAGGGATGTCACTATTGTACATCTAATGCCACTTGCAAAAAGAATTATATACAGTTAAAAAAAAAAACAAAGGAAAAAAAAAGTTGTTTGCACACTATCCCAAATCTCGATGTACATTTAAATAACTGGAATTTTTTTTAGTATCACTCCAATGATTATTTAAGTGTAAGCTCACCTGCCTCATCAAGTCAAAACCTCTTGACACCTACACTAACAATTCACCTTGCTGTTTTCAGCTAAAAGGTAAACTCTGTAATGAGACAGAAGGGGGTATTTTTCTAAACTCCTACATACTTATTAACCCTTAATAGGGAACACATGGGGTAGGTTGCAGCACTGTAACATGGCTGTGCAATACAAAAGCAAATACAAACATAAAAAACTGAAGCCCTGTGCTCAAACTTCCATAACTCCTGGGCGGCAGCAATGACTATAGTACACATTAGCCCCCATACATTCAATAAAAACTAAAGAAAAAAATTACTTACGCACTTCCCAAATCCCTATGCATATTTATATAAATGGAGGCCATTTTTAAGCTCTTATATAGTTATATGGTAAAGCAATATATTTTCATCATTTTAACATCAATGAAAAACGACATAACATGACATCTATATGTGTGTCTGTTGATATTGCCAAAGTAAAATTACAGTTAAATTCTAAAAATGTAGGATATTACTATATTACACATTTGATCAACTACATATAGACTTTGCCATTCTGTGCATATCGATGGCCACTGGGCTCCAAAGGCCTCCTATCAAAAAATAAAATTTTAAGAGCATGCAGAAGTTAAAATGAAGACAACACAGTCTTATTTTAGCCAGAATGGGATTTATATCAATGAGATATTTGGAAACAACATGTAGTAATGACTAATTAGTTTAACATCTTAATGAGGCACGTGGTTCATGTCTTGAAGGGATATTTGTATATGCATTTAAATAGTCTGCACTTAACCAGACATCTTCACATGCTAATCAATAGGGTGAAAACCAGGTGGAATACAGTCTGTTTAAATGTAAATATCCAGATGATGTTTAGTACTTGGTAGAGAGAATAAAGTGAAAAAGTTAAAGATGTTCAAAGGCTAGTGATCAGTAGAGAAGTAATCAATAGTGGTGGGATCATTTAGATTATGGTTGGAGAGTAAATATTCCTTTTAAACTGTACTGATACACAATGTCACATTGGTCGTGAGCAAAACAAATAAATATTTTCTTTAACAGCTTTGTTTGGGTTTTTTTTTTAACACAATCTAACTTTTTCTTACTTTTTTTTTTAGCTAATTAAAATGTATTATATTTTATCCAAATTGTTCTAATATTTGCTTTAGAAATGTAATAAGTGCTAATGGTGCATAAGTTATTGGGTACCCTATCTTTGTTAAAACACTAGTGAAAAGTATGACAAAAATAAAGCACAAGGCTCTACCTTGTAACTACTAACTTCCCCCTCTCCAGCTGCACTTATGACCAAACATCCATATTATCATGTTTGATTCCAACCATGCTAGACAACAATAATAGGCTGAGAGTTCTGGGGTGTCTTATCCTGAGAGTTGATCCAGAGTGATACACACTGTGACATATTGTAACAGCCCAAGGCACCATTTGCTTACTCAGTTGCTGTTTCAAATTGGATCATATGCTATTCATGATAGAGGTAGTTGAATCATCTGATTGCTCAAATGACCTATTGTTGCAAGTATAGGGTCTGCTGTTATTGCCCGTATTTATCAATTTACCCCATATTTGTAGAACATTATTAGTGGTCATAATTTTCAACCTCCATAACTAGTTTAGATGTATGCATCCTTAGGGCTAACATTGACCTTTATTCAGTTGTGACTCAGAAATTTCGCTCAAACGTGTTTGATCAATATAAATTGTTACTGGATCTATTCAATAGACTTGTGTTGAACTTAGCAAACAAATTAAAGTAATTATGTAATTTTAAGCAATATTTCACAGTTTTAAGCTCAAATTCTAAATGCAAGTAATTAGGCAACTTAGTTGCCAGTGAAGATAAAATAAGTGCATTACACAAAGTTAAAGTTCTGTAATTTGATTATAGATTGTAGATTAACCTTCCTGGCAGCCTCACCCTTTGTGAAGCCTGCAGTACATGTCCTTATCTTGGAGACCAAATACAATAAAGACAAATCAGATTTATATTGTTTTCACCCTTGCTCAAGGGAAAGCTGTAATTTAGTTTTGCGGGATCCCCACAGACATACATATGATCCTTTCTGTCTGAGAAATTATAAAATTAAAAATTTCATATTTTATGTATTTTTTTTAAATTATTGATGTAGGTGAGGCTTTAATGTTTTAATCTTTGAGTTACTGCCACAGTTGTAATATAATAAAGTATTGTGATACCTTTTTATTGGGTTCAAACAGAATCTTTTGGCAATAGTTTTTTTTTTGTAAGTTCTATTCCAAATCCCTATGCATATTTATACAAATGAAGGCCATTTTGTAAGCTCTATATATAGTTGTATGGTAAAGCAATATATTTTTATCATTTTAACACCCAGACATATCTAATAAAAACAAAGGACACACCATAACATCAGAATGTGTGTCTGTTGATATTACCTAAGCTATATTAATATATTTATATGAATATTATATATATATTAAAGATAAATTCTAAAAATATAGGATATTACTTTTTCTGCACTATGATACACATTTGATCCACTAAATATAGACTTTGTCATTCTGTGCATCTTGGTGGCCACTGGGCTCCAATCAAAAAATCGTTTATTTTTCCAAGTAAATGTTAAGTCAAAATGAAGACAACACAGAGTAAAGTTAACTAGAGTGAGATTCATGTAAATTGGATATTTGAAATCAACATGTAGTAATTACTCATTAGTTTAGTATTTTAATGAGGCACATGGTTCATGTATATGCATTTGAATAGTCTGCACTTAACCAGACATCTTCATATGCTAATCAATAGGGTGAAAATTAGGTGGCCCAAAAGTCTGTTGAAATGTAAATATCTAGGTAGAGAGAACAAAATGAAGTAAAATATGTTCACAGGCTAGTGGTGGAGAGGAGATCAATGGGGGTGTGGTAATTTAGACTAAAGAATGGTTGGAGAGGGAATAGTTAACGACAATAAGCCAATAACAGGTAAGGTCAGTAAACAAGCCCACCAGGGAGGTGGGGCTAACTTTCCCACATTCTGTTATTGAAGAGCAACCCTCACTCTCTTGGAATCACTCTCATCAGTGCCTTGGAGGAGAATCTTCTCAATCCTTACTACTGCTGGCAGCTTCCTGCTAACCTGCTCTATCACCACTCATTATTCTACAAGCCTTTTCTCGTCATGGATTGAATTAGACACAGATACCTGCCTTTCCAGTGTCTCATCTCTAATATAGAGACTTTCTCCAAAGATTTTTGCAGCTCTGCTTTCAGCACAAACGACCTTGAAGAATTCCAAGAAGAACTACCTGAAAACCAAGTTAGCAAACAGAGAGGTTCACTACAAGAACCATGGCTAATAATGACTTTCTTTCAAACCAAGGAGGGCATAATCCACAACATCCTTCCGCTGTATACGAAGATTTTCAAGGAAATATACAAAATGGTACTAACATGAGCCATCCACCTTTTTCACAGAATTCACAAGCCCACAGTGGAATTAAACCTGGCTATGAAGATTGCATCCAACAAGATGACGGGCAGTGCCCACCTCAACTGCCAAACTTAACCAACCTGCCCACCTTTTATGATTCAGTGCCTAAAAATAAAAATGTGCATTGGTATGGCTTTCAGAATATAGCTGTTCGCCCAGTGGTCAGCCGAAATCCCGCAACAGCCGAAGATGTGATTCAGTATCATAACAGCTTTCCACAACCTAATGCTCACAACACATCGAATTGTGGGCAGGTATGGATACCAAACCCAAATCAAGCAACTTTCTACCCAAATCAAGCACCTGTCTACCAAAACCAAGTACTTTACTACCCAAACCAAGTATCTCCCCATCAAGCCACCAGTCCTGTAAGCATGAATCGGCCCACTTCCCCACAGGCCATGCTCTGTGCTGCTCAGATGGGGCAAGTCAAGTACCCCATGCACCACTACCAAATTCCTTCACCAGCTAGTGAAGGAAGCTGCAGCCCTACAAGTACTATATCCAGTGCTGGAAGCTGCACCCCTACAGGTTCTTTATCCAGCGCTCGAAGCTCTACTCCGACAAGTACCACATCTAGGGCTGGAAGTTGCACCCCTACCAGTACAACATCTATGGATGGAAACTGCACCTCTTCAAGTACCATATCACAGGCGTCCACCGGAAGAGTAGTCTCAGAGGTTGAGGTGAGTACTTACATGCACTGTTTTAAAATGAGGTTCATTTAGCTAGCTACATGTTTGGATCAATTTGGATTATTTTCTTTTTGTTTTAGTAACATTTACATTTTAAATTTCTCATGTAATAGGAGATCTAAATGTAGCAGATAGTTATTGTTCTATTTGGAAAATGAATGGATTTTTTTAACTACTAATTCAAATTCCTTGTAAATATGAAATTGTTAAAGTATCAATGGCTCTTTAGTGAAGTACTATAGACAAAGTACATCTTAAATAAGAATAACATTAAGGATGAAAGTAGTGAATATTCAAACATTTGTATGCTTATATTAATGTCTACATTTATATTTTATTTTATTTACTGTAAACATGAAGTTGTGGTAGGTTGACAATTGAAAAATGCTGGCCAACATTTAGAAAAGGTGAAAAATATGTTTCAAATAATCTTATTTGGAGAATTTTTACAGCTTGGCACTCTCATCAAAATTATTTCATTCCACTTGTCAATTTAGTTCAACTTGCTATTTACTGAATAAAAATCTCTATTTATTCTATTTGGTATATAACTGTTGCAGGTGTGGGACAAATCGGGTTATGACTGTCAATCAGGATTTGCTTGTGAAGCCTGTATATGGATGATAATGGCATATTTTGTATTATATAGTGACTTTAACCTATTTTCTGCCAAAATGAACTCAAATCCAGGTTGAGGTCTACTTTATTTGTAAATAAATAGTAAGAAATTGTAGTAAAAATAAACCTTATGCATAAAGTCGATAGCAATGTTGGCTCCAAGCAGAACACTGTCGACTAAAATCTACTATAGAATTAGTCGACCAAAACTAAACTAAACCAATTCAGAAGACTAAAACTTAAATGGCTTTTTAGTCAAAATACTATGACTAAAACTAAATTGATATTTGCCTCCATAATTAACACGAGGTTGTTGTTTTCCTGGAGATCTGGACCTTTTGTAGATGCTGTGCTCTAAAAACTTTCAAAATAATAAAAAAAAATTTCTTTAACCCTAAGTTTAACACTTGCTCCTTACATTCACAGGATAATTCAAGCATGAGTGAGCTTGAAGAATTTGCCCAAGATATTAAAAGACGGAGGTATAAATTGGGTTTAACCCAAGAAAACGTTGGGGACGGACTTGGAGCTTTGTACAGTAAGATCAGATATAAGACGTTACTAATACATTGTAGTTAAACAATCAAAACAATATTTCATTATTTATATGTAGTTAGCTTGTTAAAAAAACAAGCCTCAAATAAAAATCTACTTATATTTTAAAGGCAAAAATCTGGTATTTAATTACAGCAAATAAAATTATAAAAAATGTATATTACTGATAAATTTAATTTTATTTTGATATAGTAATGAATGTATTTCATATTCTATATATTTTATTTTATTTGATAAATATACTCTGACCCTTTGAGAAACCACAAAGAGGGCATCTGATGCAAATTACTGTATTTTTTTTTTTTGTATAAGAAAGATCATGTAAATATGCACCGGGATACAGTTTTATTGTTCCAAAAAATCAAATGCTTATTGTACGCTTTTCGGGTTGTAGTTGCAATGCGCTGTCAACATAAATATGTAAAATGCATAAGTTAATAATGAAAAGGTAATCAATCAAGCTCTATTCATACTAATAAAACTATTAATAATATTAATGTTTTAATTGATTTAGTGATAAATAATAGAGCATAACCAGAGTTTTATTTATTCTACTTTGTTTCAGATAAACATTTTAGCCAGACAACAGTTTGCAGATTTGAAGCTTGCCAACTGAGCCTTACTAATATGCGGAAACTGAAACCAGTTCTGGAGAAATGGTTTCATGAAGTTGAAACAAATCCAGCTAGCCGAGAAGTAAGTAAAACAATTTCTAATTTTGAGAGGGACTTATCCCCTATAGATTTATTTACATCAAATTGATCATTGTTGTTAAAATTCCACAATCAGCAGCAGTGGAATTCATTGTACAAAAACAACTATAACTTCATGTCTGCCAACACTGGAAGGTATGTGACTGGCAAGGATGTGTATGGACTCGAGGGGCATTGTCAGTGACATGTGTCATTGGCGATGCCCACAATGGATGAGCCTGCCTGCAAAAAGGGTTTGCCACCTGATGCTTCATATCAGCCTGGTGCAAAGCACGCCAACCGGACTGACAGCACCTCGAGTCAGCACCCTATGTAATAGATTGGGGTAGGCAACCTTTGACAGGCAGATGCTTTGGACTACATCTCCCATGATGCTTTGCCAGAATTAAATCTGTAATGGCATTATGCGAGATGTAGTCCACAACATCTATTGTGCCAAAGCTTGCCTAAACCTGTAGTAGACCATGCAGAGAGTACTGCTGAAGCACGCTCTACATGACCATAGTGACTGCCACATATCTGAAGCACATCTAATGCTGCTATCTCTGTACTACCCAATGACAGTTCCCTCTTCACAATTGCACTCAAAACACTAGTAAATAAATAACACTTACATATCACAAACTATAATTGCGTCAGATAATTTTCAAGAGATCTGGGCCTTTGTAGCTGTTGTTGTATTCTAAACACTTTCAACATGAAGCAAAATCAGGCTGGGACAAGACCCTAAAGAAGGAACTGTCTCACCAAGGCATGCAACCCTACAAGTTCCCTTTCAGTTTTTGGATTGTGTAAGGGTTCTATGTTCAGTTTACAGTAAATGAAGGGTCATACTTTAAATCGATGAGAATTTAATAGTTGGATAACTCATTGTTCAGTCTACATGCTGTAGGTTTCAGTAGTAAGGCTATAGACGTAGGGAGCTACAAAGTTCACTGTTATGTCCATGTAGAGCTTCAGAGATCAGTGTTTAGCCTGACGAGAGGTGCTGTGTTCAGGGTTATAGGAATCTAACCATGTTTTTTTGAAATCACATTTATTGTTATTATTAATAGCCTATTATTATCATCAATTAGGACGTGTATGGCACATAAAGGAGAAGCATATCTTAATTTTGCAAAGTATGGGTTGGGCATATGGCTACAGTGTTTTAATAAATCACTGCTGTTATAGTAGATATGATAAAAGAAGACAAACAGCCCTTTGCAGTATAATCAGTACAAGGTGTACTGCTAGTTATGGTGCTTGGGGTTCTTTTACGTTAGTATGCCTTTAACTCTGTTAAATACGTTCATTAAAAATTTAGTATTGTTTCTTTTTAAATTTGTTAATCTACTAGGTTGGAAAAAAAAATAATTCTGTGATTAACAGGTTACTATTTGTATTTTTTTTTGCAACCCACTAGATTGTTGACAGAGGAGAAAAACCGAAAAACTCTGTAAAAAGAAAAAGCCGTACATGCATTGAGGAAAATACAAAGCGCTATTTGGAAAAGTGTTATGAGCAGTGCTCTCGTCCCAGTAAAAGGGGCATTGAAATCATTTCAGAAATAAGCAAGAAGGAATGTAAAGTAAGTATTGACAATAAGACCTTTTCTATCAGACAACTACTATGACATGAACGTTTACGGAGTTATTCACTTAAGTGAGAATTCAGAGTGAATTCAAAGTGAATTTCAGATTTAAAAGGACACTATAGTCATAAGAACCACAACAGCTTAAAGTGGTTCTGGTGTCTATAGCCTGCCCCTGCAGGATTTTCAATATAAACACTATTTTTCAGAGAAAAGGCAATGTTTACATTGGTGCCTAGTAACTCCTCACGCTGCAGTCATTCAGATGGCCACTAGAGGCGCTTCCTAGTCTAGGGCTGCACAGTGTGCAGCACTGGTGTTCAGCATCTACATACTCTGCATGGAAATATTGACCATTGCCCACTGAAATGCATTGATTCAATGCATCTGTATGAGGAGATGCCAATTGGCACACTGCAGCATATTTCTGCACATGTGCAATGTCCTTCCAATGACCATACGGAGAAGCATTGGATTGGCTAAGATAATCAAGATTGATGATCTCAGCCATGGAGACGGAGCCAGTCATGGTGAGAATGGTGCGCCCTGGGTGAAAAGGTGAGTAAAATTGCCTTTTCAACAAGATCATCTAAAATGCCACATAAGAGCTATAGAGTCAGGAATACATGTTTGTATTGCTAACACTAGGGTGCCTTTCAGCCTAAAGTAGCCTAAATGGATGCTCTGCATATATCAGACTTGGTACTTGTGAATTATATATATTTTTTCATGTAAATAATTTGTTAATAATTAGATCTCATCATACAATATCAATTCCTTTATTGACCACCCATTACTTTCATTATTTATCAATAGGTTATTCGAAACTGGTTTTGCAACCGTCGTCAGAAGGAAAAAAAAGAACTGGACAAACGTCTAAAGGAGAAGCCTGTAGCAACTGATAGCTTTGCTCAACCCATTCCAGCTCCTAACACCGGAAACTGTGTCATGCCACCAATGGCAGTACAACAACCCTATCTAATTGACATGACTGGATCAAATCATACACCTTTTATGGCTACAAACAACCAAAATGGACAATTCATCCAACATGCCATGCAAAGGATGCCTCCTGGATACTATACTCAGTAAACCATGGTATATACACATTTCTATTTTTCTTTTTTTTCAGTTAAACCTTTCTTTCGAGCATTAACCCATCTTGATCACTCTTTCTTCCATACCATGTAGTAGCGATAACCCTACCACTTTGCTTCCCTGCCATCATTATTAATGCTTTGTTCTCGTTCATACCATATCTAAAATTAATCACCTAATCTTGCCCTTTGCCTCTGAAATTCACCATGTCTGACACACGGTGAAACAAAAAAAACCCAAGCATTTCAGTATAATCATTTTACACCTTACCCTCTGTAAGTTATTTAAAACCTGCTTCCACTCCACTTCCACTATCTCAAACTGCATATCCTCTCTGTCAACAACCATCGTATCTGTTATGCTTTTAACCTCATCTTCAACATTTTTTCTCTAGAACTCACTGGACTCCCCCTTGATATCATGTATCTAGTTGTATATAGATTGTACAGTTGACAATGAACATGCCATTCTGAACACATTGTGCTTTTTACCTTGTTTTACACTGTAAGCTTATTTGAGCAGGGCTGCCTTTTGCTACCCTAAGTCTATATTAGTCAGTGTTTCATTTATGCATTGTAGAGTGCTTTATAATGTGTAGGAACTGTATAAATATATTCATTGTAAAGATAATGGCATTTTGCTATGTATATATAAAAATAACAAAATAGATTAAAAACAAAATAAAAATTAATAAAATTAAAAAATCAACACCTTCTAAGTTTGTTTGTCACTTTGTTTGGAATATGTCATTTTGTGAATTTATGTAAATATTTTTTGAGTTTGCCTCTTTTCTGGCATTTACTCTGATTCCCACCAAACTTACTGTTTTGTGTAGGGAGTCTCTGTACTAAAGAGTGAATTATACTGAATATGCAAAAAAGCAAAAAGATAAAGTGATGCAGTTCAATATAAATATTTTCAACACTAAAAATGAATCATATAAGTGTTATAAAAGCAATATATTTTGTGCAGCTTTTGTGCAGCAACCACTCAAAAAAAATCCACTGAAATAATTTAACAATGATAAAAAAATAAATATAATAACTACCAACTTACAATATATACCGGTGTACTAAAGTGATATAATATACACAATAAAATGTTATAACCACAAATCTTAACTCATTAACTCCGTTATGGCATTCTGCACCGTCTGCATTTTAATGGACTTTGAATTCCCCGCCATATAGGCTGCCAAGCTATCAAGACTATTTTATCCCATGAAAAAATAATTTCTGATATTCAAATAGATTTTATTTTGGAGGGTATTAATATTATTTTTTTTCAAACTACTTCTGTTTTTTTAAAATTCTTTCTACCTTCAGAAAAGGGGCACTGCTATAGGGACAGGTTTCCCCCCGGCTATGCCAACCTCTTTATGGCAGACTGGGAGTCCAGTGCTGTTTGGAGCAGGCATGCCTGGGAGGCAAACCTGGTCTCTACTTCAGATACATTGATGATTTTTTTTTTTTATGGAAAGGCTCTGAGGATGCTCTTAACTCTTTTATCACACATTTAAATACCAATAACAGAGGTATCATCTTTTATCTATTAATGTATTAGATCTACATATTTTTTAAAAAAAAATGTAAAATTCAAACAAAAACGTTTTTTTTTTTTTTTTTCAATTTGACAATTTTTATTTTGTCATATATCAAAAGGCAGTATAAGGGGGGTACAGAATAAAGAAGGGAAGGTGGGGAAGGATGTAGGCAACGTTGTTTACACGTAAATTGTTTTCGTCTCGGATATGTGCAGTATATGTTTCACATTTCACATCACGTGTTCCACATTTCAAATGCTAGCGTATACAATATTACCCATTACACTTTAAACGGTCATGTTTTCCCAATCTGTATTTGCTGCCTGTCTCTGAGTCGCAGGTGTGGTATGGAGTACTGGTCGTAACATCGCCACTGTTGTGGTTGGATCCGTGGGTGAATTGCTTTACGGCACGTGTATTGTGTCATTCTCTCTTATCCCTTGCGTGTTGTTCTGGCCCCCTGCCCCTGCGTACTGGTCTCCTTAGGGGAGACTGGGTTTTACCCCCACAGGATCTTGCGTACTGTGATTGCTTGGTGGTAGCGTCTGGGCTGGGAGTACATGAGCCACTAGCGGGATGCTCACTAGAGCGGTTATCTATATACACTTACACATATTGAGTTGTAGCGCAAAAAATGGAGTGCGGGGGGTGGGGGTAGGGTGTGCTGAAAAGTGAAGGGAAGGGTTTAAGGGAAGGAAAGGGAAGAGATTCCGTGTATGGATCTCTTGAACCGGTGCTCCTCTTTGTCCTCTCCCTAGACCTATGTTCCTAGTTCCGCCTCTCTCCCTCTAGTGTATCATCGACTCTATGCGTTAGGACCTCCTCCTGGGTCAAGTCACCTACGTTCCCTGTTTCTCTTGCTTTGGTTCTCTACTCAAGCCTTCGTGTCTTAGCGTACCTATACGTCTTGAGTCCCGGAGTGGTGTGCACTTTTCTGAATGTAATTTGCCCATTTGATTTTTGTGTCTATGATCGTGCGGTTATTTGTAATGTATTTATTTGCCATAGCTTCATATTCCCAGTTTGTGGATATTTGTGTTAGGAGATCGTGTCTGCTGGGCGCTCGTGGTTGTTTCCACTGTCTGGCTATCAGGGTTACTGCCGCTATAAGCACCTGGAATATCAATTGTCTTTCCTGCTTGCGCCAGAGGGCAAGATGCATGAATAGTATACCCTGTTCAGGTCCCAAGCTGTATGGGCGGCCTATTACGTCAGTGATTATCCCCTCCACCATCTCCCAGTAGGGAGTGATTATCGGGCACGTCCACCAAATGTGGTACATTGTCCCCCTTTCTCCGCAACCCCTCCAGCATTCCCCTGAGCTTCCCGGGTATATTTTTGCTAGTTTGTCTGGGACCATATACCATCTGTACATAATTTTCCTCATTGTTTCTAGGTGGGTCGCGCATGATGTGTGTCCTTTGTGTGTTTGGAATGCCTGTTTCCAGTCTAGGTCTGCTATTGGTCGCCCTATGTCCTTCTGCCAGGCTTCTCTAAAGTCTCCGTGTCCGTTTGTATCTACTGTATTCAGTAGCGCATAAAGTTTTGATAGGATTTTTTTGGGTATACTGCCCTGTAAGCATATTTGTTCTAAGGCACCAATGTTTGGCGGTTCGGTACCCGAATCTTTACCGTGTGAGGCCACAAATGATTTCAGTTGGAGGTAAGGGAATATGTGTCTGGAGTGCAAGGAGAACTTGGTTTGCAGTGTCGGGAATGGCAGTAACTCGTTGTTCACGCAGATCTGGCTAAGGTGGGTACAACCCCCTCTCACCCAGGGAGCGTGGTCAAACGTCGGTATGCCCACCGATATGCTCGTGAGTGGGATGTTCCTTATGTTTGGTCCGACCATGCCCAGTGATGCCCTCACTGTGTCCCATGTCTTGATCATTGCTGCCGTGGTTGGTAACATGGTTGTGTACGGCGGTCGTAATCTGTGCGGCAGCTGGTATAAGTGTCGCAGCCCCTGTTTGCATGCCCAGTGTGCTTCTATGTGTACCCACTGGGGGGGGTCTTCTACTACGTTTGTCGCTGCTATGGCAGTCAGCAGTGTGGCTCTGTGGTAAGAACGAATGTTGGGCATGCCCAATCCCCCTTCTTTAACAGGTTTTTGTAAGAGTTTGCTGGCTACCCTCACCTTGCGGTTGGCCCACACAAACCGTACGAACAGTTTTTGAATTGTGCTCACATATAGACCTGGCAGACTAATCGGGACTGTGCGCAGCAGATATTGGAGTTTGGGAAGTATAGACATCTTAATCGCCGCCAGTCTGCCCAGCCACGAGAGATATTTGCCCTCCCATGTGTGTAACGTGTCTGTAAATGATTTGATCAGTTTGGTAAAGTTTAGCTTGAACAAATGGGGTAGGTGGGGGGGTATATGTACGCCCAAGAAGGTAATATAATCTTTTCTCCAGTCAAAGGAGAAAAGCCCACTCAAGTGTTTCAGCCGATGAGATTGGACTCCCACTCCCATAGCCTGTGATTTAGTGACATTCAATTTGTAATAGGAGTTAAGGCCGTATTCTTTAATGTCCTTCATAAGGTTCGGTAGTGAAATTTGGGGTTGTGTTAATGTCAACATGACATCGTCCGCAAACAAATTGATTTTGTATTCCCTATCGCCCACTGTTACTCCATGTATGGAGCTGTTGGCCCGTATTGTCTCTGCTAACGGCTCTAAAGCCAACACATATAGTAAGGGAGAGAGTGGGCATCCCTGCCTCGTCCCGTTGGTGATGTTAAAGGGTTCCGATGTGAAGCCCGCAGTGACCACCTGAGCCGATGGTTTGCTGTATAAGGCCTCCACCGCCGAGCAGAATGCCCTCGGCATCCCAAACTTATCCAGGACCGCTCTCAGGAACATCCAGCTCAGGCGGTCGAAGGCCTTCTCCGCGTCCAATGAAAGCGTTACACATTCTGTTTGTTGCCTGTGTACGCTGTGTATAATGTCGATGACCTTTCTCGTGTTGTCCCCCCCTTGTCTCCCTTTAACAAATCCGACTTGATCATTCCTTATCAGGTGCGGGAGGATTGTGCCCAACCTAATGGCGTAAATTTTCGCGAAGAGTTTTGTGTCAGTGTTTAGCAACGATATTGGTCGAAAATTTTGTGGGTGGATTGGTGGTTTGCCCGGTTTAGGCAATGTTATGATATGGGCTTTGAGGGCTTCTGGCGGGAGTGCGTGCCTCTTGGCTGCTTCATTAAACGCGTTAGTAAGGTGAGGGGCTAGGATTTTTTGGAAGTGCTTGTAGTAACAGTTGGCAAACCCGTCTGGGCCTGGGGCTTTATCAGAAGGTAGAGAGTCAATTGCTCTCACCACCTCTGTTTCTGTTATCAATGTGGCTAGGCTGTCTTGTTGAGCGGGTGTGAGTTTGGGCAGTGCGATCTTGTCTAAGTAGGAGGCTATTTTGGCCCCCTGTGGTTGGGGTGTATTTGGGTCGTCCCTGAG